CAGACCGAAATGAACAGTCTGAGTTCATGCGGTATCTTCTGCCTGTCTTCTTTCAAACCCCCACTGGTGCTCCTCGGAGCCAAACGTTCATTGTTTAGTACTAAAGAGGCACGCCGATGTTATTGATGGCCGTTCTAAGTAGCACAAGGAGGAGGAGGATTGCTTGGAAACAGAATCTAGGTCAGTCTGGCCAGCGTGATTCATTGATTCTGATGTGTGTCCATTCGCTGGTTTCTCCCTCTGTATCTCTGTATTGTTAATTGCTGGGTGACTGATCGCCCTAAATCTTGCTGTGGCCGTCTGCCCGAACGGGTTTTTGCTTGGAACACCTGCCCTCAGGCTTGCTTTTAAGCGAGCGGAGGCCTCAGCCTTTTACCAGTGCATTGTGGGAAGGATGGCTGGAGGAAAAAACACAATTGGAACTGGAAGTGGACAAACAATGAACCCATAAGAATGTTACTGAACTAGAACCAGGTCACTGTTTTGATTCAATATACACTACTGGACAAAAGTTCGGAATAATAAAGTTTTTTTCTTATGTTCACCAAAGCTGTCTATTTGATCAAATATACTGTAATCAAACATTATGAAATGTTATTACAGTCTAAAATAACTAAGGCCCGGTTTCATAGACAGGGCTTAGTCTAAGCCAGGATTAGGCCATAGTTCAATTAGGACATTTAAGTAATTTTTTATAAATGTGCCTTAGAAAAAACATTACTTGCGTGCATCTTGAGACAAAACAAGCACTGATATATTTTAAGATCAGTCAGTGCAAGTTTCTTTCATTTGAAACAGCTCAGACTTACATTTTAGTCTAGGACTAGGCTTAAGCCTTGTCTGTGAAACCGGGGGTATAATTATTTTAAAATCTGCATTTAAACGTTACAAAAGATTTCTATTTCAAATAAATGCTGTTCATTGAACTTTATATTCATCAAAGAATCTTGAGAATCTTGAACATGTAGCAAGGTTTCCACCAAGATGTTAAGCAGCAAAACTCTTTTCAAAATTGATAATAATAACTGTTCATTATTTAGCACCAATAATAATTGATAATAACTGAGCTTCAAATCAGCATTTTAGAATGATTTCTGAAGGATCATGTGACACTGAAGACTAAAGATGCTGAAAATTCAGCTTCGCATCACAGAAATAAATTACATTTTAACTTATATTAAAGTAGAAAACCGTTATTTTAAGTTGTTTATTTTTTTCATATTATTACTGTTTTTACTGTATTTTTGATCACATAAACACCCATAAGAGCCTTCTTTCAAAAACAAAAGTCATTATTCCTAACTTTTGAACTTTTTTGACCATCTCTTATGATAGTGCACACTAACAATAAAAGACCTGATGGAAATGGTTCACATCTGCAATATCTTTTAGCCACAAAAATGAAGCTTAATCGGTTAATCAGAAATTTGGGATTTCAGATCTGTGTCTTTTTCTGTGCATCTAAATCTGAAGCTTTATTAGGGAAATGAATGAGTGCACAGACTCCTGACCGAAGGAGGAAATCCGGCTGTTGTGTGTCCGATCCAGCGCTCGCCCCCACCTCCAAAGCGGCAGCTGCACTCTGAGATCTCTCAGAAAGACGTAAAGGATGTCCGGGTGAGCTTTTTGATGTCCTGCCAGCTGCGTACATTCACTACTAGCAGTTTGGACAGTGTTGGAGATGTTTACCCTTATAAGCTGATGTTTTTCTGGTCCGTTTTATTAATGCTTCGATAATCATAAAATAATAGGTTTGAGTTGGTCTTGCAACAATGTTTGAGAATCCTTGTGCTTTAATCCATCATAAAGATAAGAGTAAGCCTTCACTTTCTTCCATTTCTGGGAGAAGAAAAATGCCTGATCAAAACTCAAAACCTTGTTTAGTGTTTGTCTGAAAAGAGGACAGGGAGCAACCTTATTTTGATTCTCAAGTGTACAAAAAGCAGCATGCGATACTGCCATGTTTTAAATGATTTGATCAGCAAACAGCAAAGTCATAGAGATCACATCTCTGTGTTGCACTTCAGTTGTGCTGTATCATGCAAATATTAGCATTACTACTAGCCTAGAAGCAGAACAATAGAAACATCAAGAGTTAAAACATTGTACTGGGTTAAAACATTTATTTGCTTGTTTGTTTTATCTGTTGATTTATATTTGATTTGTTTTTGTTTAGTTGTTTTGTTATTCTGTTTGGATCAAAATCCTCAATACATTTTTGCCTCCGTTTTGTTTTGTTCAATTCTGTTGTTTGTTTTTGTTTGGCATTGTTCAATTCTCTTTGGTTCATCATCCTCATGAGTCATTCTTGGCTGTTTTTTGATCAGTTCTGTTGTTTTGTTTTAAATTTGGTTTTGTTTTGTTCAATTCTGTTTGGTTCATCATCATCATCATGAGACACTCTTGGCGCTGTTTTTTTGTTCAATTCTGTTGTTTTGTTTTTTGTTTTGTTTGTTTCATCCTCCAAGACATTTTTGTCTCTGTTTTTTCTTTTGTTTTGTTCAATTCTATTGTTGATATTTTTGTTTTGTTCAATTCTGTTTGGTCCATTAAGACACTTTTGCATCTGTTTTTTATTTTTTTTTAATTCTTTTGGATCAGCATATTCATAAGACATTTTTGGCTCTTTGTTTTTTGTTGTTCAATTCTGTTTTGATCAACATCCTCATAAGACATTTTTGTCTCTGTTTTAGCAGCTGCACATATATGGATTCGGTATGACATTAAACAACACAATATACTATACAAATACTATGTAAATACTATTTTGTATTCTATTTCTCCATTAGTTTTTGCAAATGAGGACGTTTTTGGTTTGTAGTTCACTTTGAGCATCCATTCTGAGCAGACACTGGATTGTGGTTACAGTTCCAATGATAATTTAAGCATCAGTGTTTCTTAAAATAGATGTAAAGATATTTCGTTTCAGCAGTGCATCAGTGTCTCTTTATCCCGTGAGTCTGTTGATTTCTGTCCGTCTCTGGATTATTCATGAGAAATCGAATGCAGCACCTGACCAGGTTATTTTTTGCCCGTCGTCCTGAAATCGAACCCCAAGGAAACAGCATAATTTTTTTTGTGGGTGTGTGATCACGAGGAAGCCAGAGAGATGTTTTAACCTCTAAAACTGCTTACCACACAGAACAGCTTCTCCTTGCTTTCCTTCATATAATCCCAGGATTCAAAATGTCCTTGCATTGTGACACGCATTGCTCGTAATTTAGCACATTTCCCATATTTCTTATTACAGTAATGCAAAAATTATTGTAATTGTTGTGTGTGTAAAATATATTTATGTACTTATTAGTTTTATTCATTTTGTTTTACTGCCTTATGCTAGTTTTTATTAAATAACCATTGTATTACAGTTATTTTTTACTAATGAGAATCATCTTCGAGAATCATGAGAATTACAAAAAAGTCAAGACACATTAAGAAATTAGTAATTTGAAATAATGGAGAAAATGATGATTAAATGCCAAGAAAATAATGTCACAATTCCAAAAATCTTATTGGTTGTACAGTAAGATTCAGGTTCTTTATACTAAATTTTTTTTCTTTTTTCTTTGATTTGGAATGAAATATGAATCTTTACAGGTTTTTGTGAGATTCAAGGGTAGAACAAGAAACCATCCATGAAATCACCCCTGGGTGCTTTATAATAATATGAGAGTATGAATTTTATAATGTCAAATGGCAAGATAGTGGAAGAACAGAAAGGTATGGCAATGAGACGCAAGCTATCATATAACAAGACTCGTCAGCGGTCAATTGGTCTCCGAGGACAGGTGTAAGCGTGCTTCTTAAGAGACCTTAGCACAAAAGAGCTTCTCAATGTCACATATGAATGCATGTGAAGGCAGTAATAGTATATGATGTGGAGGAGCTAATGGCCCGTCTCATTCTGGTTTCTAGTCCGTCTATTCATCGTGACCGAGCCCCTCAAACGCTCTCAGTCTTACCCCCGCCATTTTCCACCAGCATGATGATTCTGCTGTTGCTATGCAACGTTCTGCTGTCGCTTAGTGAAGCATTAATTAGAGTGTTACATTTGAATACCATCGTTATCGCCTCTCAGAATTGCCACGGCTGGCATATTTGCACTCAACTTTAAGATTCCACCACAGTGACTGGAAAAAACACATATTCCATCCTGTCCACCATTACTGCAGGCATTTGGACTATATACATGGGTAGAAAATAATGTCAAGAAGCCTTTTAGTTTACATAATCTTCACAGAATTAGCAAAATAACAAAAAATAATGGGTCATTTTATCACATTTCACATTGATCACATTTTATGTATATGTATGTACAGGTGCATCTCAATAAATTAGAATGTCGTGGAAAAGTTCATGAGCCAAAATCATCACAATTAAAAGAACCAAAGACTTAAACTACTTCAGTCTGTGTGCATTGAATTTATTTAATACACGAGTTTCACAATTTGAGTTGAATTACTGAAATAAATGAACTTTTCCACGACATTCTAATTTATTGAGATGCACCTGTATGTATGTGTTTATTTACTTATTTACTTAACTATTTATGTATGTACTGGGGAATTTATATGATTTGATTTCTCTCTATATCAGCATCATCATCATCATTATCATTAATTAATGAGTTTATATATTTGTTTTTTTTTTATTTATTCTATTTTGTACTGGCTAATTATTTCTAAGATTTTAATTATTTCTTTCTTTCATGCTTGGCAATTTATATGATTTGATTTCTAATATGTTTTTAAGTCTGTTTTTATCATCTTCATCATCATTATCAACATAAATTAATGAACTTATGTATTGATTTTTAGTATTTTATTTTGTACGGCACAATGTTTGTTTATTTATTTTTAAATCCATAAAATACTGATTCTGCAGTTGCTGTGTAAAACATCAGGTGGTACAGTGTTCCTCAGATTGACCCTGCATGGCATCACCTCTCAAAAGCAGCACACGGCCAGCTCGGTGATTTTCCCCTGATTTGTATTCTAAAGATGATGCCAGGATCCATAATTTTCCTGACAGCTAGAGTGGGAAGTGGGCCGTGTTCCCTCACTGCAGCTGAGAGAGTGTGGACTGGAGCGCTGCCACATGTGGGATGGGATTTCAGGAGCACTAACCCGACTGGGACTGCAGGAGCAGAATGAGCCAGTCCTGCCCAATTCCATTACAGCCTCCCCTCGTCCTGCCTCATGCATCTCCACTCCATCCTGTCACCTGATGTGAGCACTGTATGGCTGGCTGGCTGATCAGAGAATGTTTTACCCTTCTGTGAATAGACTAACATCTTCATAGTTCATATGACATTAAAAAAGCCTGGATTGGAATATACTCATCCAAAATCAGCTGTCAGACTCTTTTGGCTGGTTAATTGTGGCTAAGGGTTGATGCATTTTAACTTTTTCGTGCTATTCCCATGACAGTGATCTTTCGCTCAGCATCTCCCAAACTAAACACAGGAAGCTGAGTCACAGCAATGCCATACATTTCTCTTCCTTTCAGCGGCAACAGTGGCACAATTTATAACTGCTGCCACTCTCAAGTCTGAAAGAGAGAGAAAGTTCAGTGTTGTGTCATTAGTCATTATGTAAATAAAGTTTTAGGTAGTAATTTATAAGCAGGTCTACAGTAGTGAAGGTAGTACATTTTCTTGCGTAATTAACTAAATTAAACAGTAGCTTTCTTTCATTGCTTTTAAATGACTCATATGCAGGATCCAAAAATACATTCTTGGTCCACTTACCAAAGGTGGGTGAATTGAGAGAATATAAGGCCCATAAATATCTATACCAGCAATGAAACTAATATATAGGGAGAACAATATGTAATGTTTTATGTATAATTTATATATAATTTATAGCATATCTGTTATTTTATTTTATTTTACTTTATTTTAAATCTTATCTTATTTTATTTTACATTTTATTTTTTATTTTATTTTATTTGTTTTATTTTAACAAACATATATACACTACTTTTACACTTGTTTGGGGCTGGTAAGATTAAGAAATTTTTTTTTTTTAATTAAGTCTCGTCAAAAAACTAAATCAAAATATCTGTTTTTTTTTTTCAGTTTTATATATTTATTCCTGTGATGCAAAGCTGAATTGTTTCCATCATTAGTCCAGTCTTCAGTGTCACATGATCCTTCAGAAATCATTCTGATATGCTGATTTGGTGTTCAAGATATATTTTTTATCATTTCTTATCTTATTTTTTATTATCAATGTTGAAAACAGTTGTGCTGATTAATATTTTTGTGAACCATGATACATTTTTATTATTTATTTTTTTGTGACATTATAAATGTTTATACTGTCACTTGATTATTTTAATGTGTTGGATTTAGTGTATTCTTCCTTCCTTCCTATATACAGGTATATATCTTTTTTTTTTAATAATCTTACTGACCCCAAACTTTTGAACAGTAATATACAGCATATGCATTTAGTCACATGGCTTCTTTTAGCTGTTTGCTTCCAGTCGGACCAACAGGCTTTATAGTGCAAGCGCAGAACTGTCAAAACTCACAGAAACTGAAAGCCCTTCACATCAGCGGTGAAAGGCGAGGAGACACTGGCCAATTATTTTGACTGTGTGAATCAAAGTAAGAAGTGAAGCAGGGAATTCTTTGAAAAGCAGCAAGAACAAACGGGCAGGGGTTCTTTTTGAAGATGTGTGGACTCTTTGATTTCAGGCTGTCCATTAAATCTGTTCAAACCCTCGGCTGCGATGCCTGATGCCCCTCACATCACCTCACATCACACCCACCCAGGACCCCCTGCTGGTTGACTTCTCTCTTCATGGGCTTCTGCCTGGGCAAAACTGGTTTGCAATTTGTTTAGATAAAGCTTCATTTTCTGGTAATTATCACTCTACACCATAGCATGTGGTACAGTTATGTAGACTTTGGATTACCAGTGAGATTAGATGGCGAAAAAACACAACTGAACTCAGTCAGACAATTTGACCTCTTGTAGTTAGATAATTACTCTAGAATACATTTTTAGTGGTGTTGGTGGTGGATGAGCATGACTATGGTGAAGCAGCATGGTATTTCATGTTGTATTTCTGTCTGTTTAGATGAATTGTGTCACTGTCTCTTGATTTTTTTTTCATGTTTGATTTTTATGTAAGCTGTGTCCAGGGCCGGATTTACCTCTTTTCGTGACATAGGCAAAACAAATTTTTGGGCCCCACTTCCCTATTAATAGAATAGGCCTAATATTACCACCCAAGCAAACAAAAAAAACATATTTTTTTTAATGAACAGACAAAAACACAATAATACAAAGGGTTAAACCATATTAAGGAACAATAATCTAAACAAAACAATAATAATAATTCTAAAAATAAATAAAAAGCGAAATAAATAAATAAACAAACAATAGAAAATACAATGAAAATAAAATATTTAAAATTCTCAGCCTATCAACAAAAATATTTCTTAATCAGTACCAGGGCCGGATTTACCTCTTTTCGTGACATAGGCAAAACAAATTTTTGGGCCCCACTTCCCTATTAATAGAATAGGCCTAATATTACCACCCAAGCAAACAAAAAAAACATATTTTTTTTAATGAACAGACAAAAACACAATAATACAAAGGGTTAAACCATATTAAGGAACAATAATCTAAACAAAACAATAATAATAATTCTAAAAATAAATAAAAAGCGAAATAAATAAATAAACAAACAATAGAAAATACAATGAAAATAAAATATTTAAAATTCTCAGCCTATCAACAAAAATATTTCTTAATCAGTGGAAACCGTTACAGTGTTTTCTATCGCAATAAGTGCTTGCGTTCAGTCAAATAAAATCTAATGTAGTTCTTAATTTGTTTGAGAACTGAGAAAGACCATTAAGTTCCATTAAAGGCAGGGTATGTAAAACAAATTTTTGGGCCCCCCTTCCCTATTAATATAATAGGCCTAATATTACCACCCAAGCAAACAAAAATCAGTGGAAACCGTTACAGTTTATTCTATCGCAATAAGCGCTTGCATTCAGTCAATAAAAATCGAATGTAGCTCTAATTTGTTTGAGAACTCAGAAAGACCATTCCATTAATTGGCGTGACCACTTCGGGAGTGCATTATTTCTCTAATAATTTTAACGGCCTAAAGTCACAATCACACATCATTTGTTCAGATGGTTTGTTTCAAGACATTTGACATGTTTCCGTCCTGAAATCTCGTGTGTGTTGAACTAGCTAATTTTTTACGCACCTCGTCGCAAACCTTCCGTTGCAAATTCCAAAACGTCATTTTAGAGCTAACAACAGAGGCTTGAGCCATTGATATGCAGGCTAACACAGTAAATAATGCAGTCTAACGCAGTTATTAGAGAGAGAGCGCGAAAGAGAGAGGGAGAGATTAAGTGCGTGTGAATACTTGCGTCTGTGCGTCTCTCAGCAGTATTCAGCAGCAGCGTCTACTAATAGCGAATCTTTAAGTAAAACTCCTTCATGAACCTCGCTACTGAGAAATGTCATGTAGCTTTTCAGCTGCGAAACTCTTTTATTGATAAATTCGTGGGGCAGCCGCAGCACTGATGACAAGTTTCTGTCCGCATCTCCACGTGTGTGCGCGAGTGCGTGTCTATGTGTGTGCATGTGTGAGAGAGAACAGGAGAAAGAAAGCGTGATTTCCATACATCTGTGCGTCTCTCAGCAGTGTTCAGCAGCAGCGTCTACTAATAGCGAATCTGTAGTTTGAACTGCTTCAAGAACCTCGCTACTGAAAAATGCGAAACTATTTTACTGATAAATTCGCGGGGCAGCCGCAGCTCTGACAACAAGTTTCTGTCAGCGCCTCCGTGTGTGTGCGCGAGTGCGTGTCTGTACTTTGTGTGCGTCTGTGAGAGAGAATGGGAGAAAGAAAGCGTGATTTCTGTACATAAAAAAGGTTGAAGACATGGAAGTAGTGGATGAGCGAGCATAGGCACGTGCCTAGAATGCCTATGCGTAAATCCGGCCCTGGCTGTGTCCATAGATGAACTCTGAAGACTTACGGGGAGAATAATGCACACTGTTCTATTCTCCGTTTGAAACCTGACACACCTGCACGGCTCAGGTGATGTCTTGGCTGTTTGTCTCGACTGCTTGTTTGCGCTGGGAGTGGTTTCAGTCTCGTTGGCTTGCTTCGTCACAGTTTGTGAGAGTCAGGATGCACAGGTGTGATTGGAAACAGAGTTGTAGTTCTCAGGCTGCAACAAGGAACACTTCTAGTTGGCGGATTTGCCAAAATATGTTTACTCCTGAATGCTTCCAAAGTTTTCTTTGTTTTTTTTTTAAAGGAAGTAAATATTGGAGTTTATTGGTATGTAATGTTATATTATTCATATGAATTAAAGATTATTATTATAATTTTAAATACGTATTATTATTATTATTATTTAACAAAAATAACAACTTATTTTAGTAGTATATTATTGTAACACATTATAAGTGTGTTATTAATAAAAGTAATAATATAATAATAACAGCAGCAGCAACAATAAGTGCTATTATTATCACTATTACTCTAAAAATAACACAGATGTAACATAAATATTATTATTAAACCCTTTTTATGCATTTCAGTGCAGAAAAAGTCTGAATGTAATACTTTGTTGTTGTTGCTCTCGTACTCGAGTGATATTGCTCATATATATATATATACATATATATATAGTATTAAATACAATATTATTATATTTTTGTTATTATATTTTTTTGTTTTAAATTTTGTATTATTTATTACATGATGGTATAAACTGATACGAATTTGCACATTGCATGGCAAAGGATAATACAACATATAAGGTCAAATTCTCACTATTAACTAACTATTAACTTAGCTATTAACTTATAAACTAACTGCTTATTAATAGTTAAGGTAATTTTTAAGTTTAGGTATGGGGTTGGATTAAGGGATTTCAAATATGGTCTTGCACAATAAGGCATTAATATGTGCTTTATAAGCACTAATAAAAAGTCAACATGCTTGTAATATGCATGCTAGTTAATAGTGAGAATAGGTCCTTAAAATAAAGTGTTATCCTATGTTGCAAATTTCATGGAATTGAATATTCAGTCTTCTGATTTCACTTTATTAAAAAATAAATATAATAAGCATAGGTGGACTTTTTGTATGACAGTCAAGTGACCCCTTTTTATCAAGAGTAGAATCAATTTCGGTGTCTTTGTGCCAAAAATCTACTTTTCTGGGAGAATTTACCGCTGCATTGCTGAAGAAAAATGCCCTTCTCCGTTTGAAGTTCCTTATGTCAGAAGATCAGGATCAGGAAGCATCAGTAGATGGAGTGTGTAGGCTGTGTTTACAAACAGAGGAGTTTGTTCTCTTTT